AGGAGAGTTCTGCCTTGCCGCTCCCCCGGCCCACACATCTGCAGACGCCCCTCCAGGTCTGTGCTTCTGCTGCGACCTCAGGCCAGGACACCAGCACAAACAGGTCCCCTCACTCGCCCTCACTGCAGCTGGGCCACCTAGGTGAAGGGCTGGCTTGGACTTGGGTAGCGTGTGCCGAGTCACTCCCAGCACCACTTCATGCCGACGGCTGGGCAATCCAGCTCTCTGACCCAGAAGTGCAGGACAGGTGCGCCCCGTGGCCAGTGAGTCTGATTATGAGAAGGACCATGGTTAAGGGAGGGAGGCTAAGGGACGGGAAGAGTGGCTCTCAGTGAGAACAGGTGCAGAACCTCTTCCTTCTAGAAGTGGTTTCCTTCTTGGAAATGAATAAGTTGACTGTATTGACCAGTCGTGCCTGGAGTCGTCCCATGGCAGGTACGGCCGCACGTTTCCTGGCTTTGTTCTGTCTGAGGCAGCTTCTCTCGTAGTGCCCGGCCCCAAGGCTGCCTGACCCAGGGGCCAGGGTGGATGCTGGCTGGCCTAGCTGCCGGCATCCGCATCCTCCCTTCAGGCTGTAGCACTGGGAGTCTTTTGTTCCCTGTCTTAGCAGCCTCTACTTCTCCAAATATCTGACAAATAAGTCACACTGTTCACCTGGCAGTTTCTCCTCCCTTGGCACTGTCTCGCTGAGCAGCTCTGTGCAGCCTCGGGCTGGCACTGTGACAGTGCCGCACAGGGGGTTTGGCCTCGTGTTGTGTCGTTCCCCTAACACTGCGCAAGCGGCCTGCCTGCCCAGACGGCCTCCAACTCCAGCCTGCCCTGTGTGTGGCCACTTCCTGAGGGCCCGTGCCCTCAAGGCCCTGCCCAGGGGCTGTTGTGTCTTCCTGTGCTAAAGACCTGGGTCCCTGGCACTTCCCAGGGCCTCCATGAGGTCCCCCTGGCTGATCTCTGAGTCCCATCTGCATCTGTGACCTCCCCCTACCATCTTCCCCCTTTCAAACCCTCTGGGCAACTCGGCAGAGCAGGTGGGTGCAGGGTGCAGCCCCTTCCTTTCCCTGCCCTCAGGCCCCTAGGCTCTGATGGGCCAGGCACGGGGAGAGGGAAGCTGGGTACCTCCAGAGGGGAGGGAGCCCGTGGGTGTGGTGTCAGGAGGGGCAGAGAGAAGTCTCAAGGACAAGGAGCTGAAGGGGCCGTTGCTTGCTTGAAGGTGCAGCTTGCTCCACATGGACCAGACACGTGCCAGCCCAGACTCTTTTATCTGTCTGATAGAGTTTGGAAAAGTCCCATCGTTTAGTCTTTAATGGAATCATCCAGAAATGGTGGGATATGAACCAGGAAGCATTGCGTATCAGCAAAGCCTTGTCCTCCCTGGAAAGACCCGTGGTTCATTAGCACTCTCTCTGCACTGTCTTCTTAAAGCCGTCTGTAGCCTTTAGTGGCGCTGTGTGGAGTCAGCAGTGAATTTGAATTCGTGGTAAGAAAAACTTCTCAGAGGTGATTAATACTTTTCTGCTTTAGCCGGAGAAGCCATGCTCGGAATTCGCTCCGGGGTGGAGGGAAGGAGCCCAGGAGGCTGCAGGAGGCTGGCTCGTCTCTCTCTGATGGAGCCTTCTCCGGCCTTCAGGGCTGCAGAGAAAAGATCCTGTGTTCCTTTTGTCATCTGCAAGCATCTGCCACTGTGGTGCAGCCACCAAATGCTCTTCCCCTGGTGCATGCCAGGGTGCTTTGCACACAGCACTCCACGGATGGCAGGGACCAGAAGACACAGCCCAGGTGGACGTGTGAGAGGTAGAAGATTTGGGCATCATGCTGCCCAGGGCCAGTGTGCAGACGGGCCACCTCCCGGGGGGATGGCGCATAGCTCAGAGAGAAGCCGTTACTCCTTCTGGCCGTTCTCTTTCCTCTACACGTGGCATGCACAAGGAAGGCACGGCTGCTCCCCTCGGTCTGGACGGGACAGCAAGAGGCTCTGCCCCCGCTCTCGGGGTCAGACACCACAGCATGGCTGCAGCAGACCCGGAGGGGCCTCTCCTTGTCATGATCCCCATTTAGCATTTCCTTGCACCAAGCCTGATGTTTGTCATATCAGCAAAGGGCTCTCAGAACCGTATTCGCACATCCGAACAGCCTGCTAACGGGGAGCGGTGCCTCGCGTTCTAGAGGAACGCTGTTCCTGCCTGGCTCTAGGACAGTCCTTGAGTGCCACTGGGCTCCTGAGAAATGTGGCTGGGCCGGGGCCTAGTGTCAAGATTTGGGAGGGAGGGCAGCCCAGAAGGAGTCGCTCTCCCAGGAGGGACACTGTGCTTGTCTGTGGCGTGGCTTCCTCCCAGGGCAACCTGCTCTCAACCAGCCACAGAAACAAGAGGGGAAAACAGCTTCTCCTCCCGCCTCCTGCCCACTGGAGGCAGCCACCTCCTGGGCTAACTGAGAACACAAAGGGATGCAGTTGTGATTGCCTCCCGCAGGCTCCTGAGCCCTCACTGTTGTTCGTGCTGTTTTGGCCAGGAGAGGAGACCCGGGCAGCAGACTGCAAGCCCAGAGAGGGAGGCCCCGGGCACTCCCCAAGTTGCATGACACAACCTGGTCATCTGTCCCCTTTGCTGACGATCCCCAGGAAAGCAGAGGCAGCTGACATCGTGTGGGGAGGCCACCTGGAAGCCACCCTCAGGGGCCCAGTGGTCTGGGTGTGTCAGCCGGGCTTAGAGCTGCTATCTGGGCACCTACAGTGTCATTTGCTACTGCCAGCCTCAGTTTCCCCATCTGCGAGTGGGGTTTGGGGGACGGTTTGAGAGGATCGGCATGCAGTGATTAGCGGCCACCCGGGCCCTCTGTTGGTCAGGCTTCTGTGCTGTGCCCTACAGTTTCGGCGTCTCACTCTCAGCTCATTTTACAGATGGCGGAGCAACTGGTTGGCCACCGACCCTCCCCTCCTCGCGGCTGCTCTGGTCCTCACTGCGGCTGTAATGAAGGGGAGTGGCAGCCGTGTCTGAGTGGGGCAGCTGAGCATGGTGTCCTGCAGGCCACCTGGTGAGATGTGGGGGCTTTGTGACCGGCCACCTGTGCTGCCTGGGCCACCCTCTCCTTTGTCTTGCTCTGCTCGCAGAGCTCCCTGCTCAGTGTCTGGAAGGGAGGATGCGGAGTGGCTTTCTTCTCTTTGCTCCCACGCTGTTCTTTAGTGATGCCTGAACCCCAGGGACCTGTCTCTGCATAGCCAACGAACACCTTCAGCTCTGTGTCCAGGCGCCATTGCTTGGCCTTAAGACTCTACAAGTCCAAGTACAAATGTCCCTCTGAGGTATCACCCACGAAACTGCCACTGACTTGCACCCCAAGGTGTTGGGAGTGGGGGTTGAGAGAGGAACTTGACCGGGACAGAGGGGATTCTTGAGCAGACTTTTGAAAGGCTCTAAGAGGAGCTGACCCCTCCCCTTCCCACTGACAGTGCAGGAAGAAAACTGCGCGGAGTGGGGGGAGGGGCCCAAGAATCCCCAGAACTGGGCTCTGACACCCATCCGCACTGTCCCCTCGCTGGTCACCAGCAATGGCTGCAGCTCACCCTCCTGGTGCTTCCGTGGGACATCTGGGCGCCTCGGGGAAGTGCTGGAGGTCCTCATCCCAGCCCCTTCTCCACGAGCCTTCTGACTGCTGGCTCCCCAGGGCGGGCTGGAGGGAAGAGCAGGGTAGGTGGCTTCATCAGGGCCTCCCGGGGCCAATGTGGGGTGGCTTTCGTGTGTGCCCATCCCGTGTGGGCCTCGGAGGCACAGTGCTGTTTCCCTGCCCCTGGCACACAGCGCTGTAGAGATGCCAATTTCCAAAACAAGAGCATTTGCCCTGAATTCCAAGGACCTTGGCTTAAGGCCCAAGCTTGCGTCGGGCTGGCTGGAGAGTGAACGCTGGCTGGGAGGCCAGCTGTGTGATCCTGGGAGAGCAGTTACCTTCCCTGGGCCCTACCCTCTCACTGGGATGGTAATATTACCTCCTTCACAGGTTGCGTTGGGAAATGGGACGTTTTGAGAGACAGCAAGTATGAAAGCACCAAGCACAGAAAATGTCAGCCACTATTAGTTCCTTTCTTCCTCATGAGGAAGGCAGGCAGGGGAAAGCGGCTTTTAGGATTAGCAGCTGGAAGAAGAAGAGAGGGCGTGGGGGCTGGAGACTGCTGCGACCCTCTGACGTGGCCGGCAGCCAGGAGTAGGACATAAGAGCACGCTGTCCTTCCTGCACCCTCGGGTGCCGCGCTGGCTGCGGAGTCCAGACGGGAGCCCTTCCTCCAGAGCCGCCTTCCAGGCGGGGGGTGGCGTTTGGCTGATTTCTGAGTTCCAGATGCGGGGATAGGAAGGGCTGTGAATTGAGCCCGTTTACCGTTTACCAGCACGCATGGCTTGCTGGGCACAGGTGCCAGTGGCCGGGTGCGGAAAGCCGGGGCAGGACGTGCACGAGCCACTGCACTCGGGCAGCCCTTGCAGGCAGGGGCGCAACACATGGAGATGGCACGGGCGTCGGCGGAGGAGCCAAGGCTTTTGACAAGAAGATGATGGAAAATGCACCGTCTCTGCATTTTGCTCTAGGACTCAGTTGAATTTTAGCAGTAATGGCCAGGTGTGAAATTTGACTGGCTGACTGGAATTGTTAAAGGTTCATCAGGATTTATTATCTCAACACTGGGGAGTGGGTAGTCCAGGAGTCCTGGGAGTGTGGGTCACAGCACCTGCACATGAAGCCATGGGCCAGGAGCATCAGAACGACAGGCTCCTGGGATCTGCTTGCAGAGATCCTGGTTGGGTTGGGTCACTGCCGCAGGCAGCTAAGCAAAGAACTAGGCAAGGCAGTCTTCCCTCCAAATGTAATTTTAGGGGTTCTGCTGGGGTGTCTCACCTGGCCAGACCCCTCCTCAGGTGGGGACCCACTGAAGCGCCTCCCCTCCTGAGAAGGGAGGAAGGAGAGAGCCTCTTGCTTTCTCTCGAGCTTCTCTTTGTCTTGCTCTAAACACACAGTCCCATTTAACCCGAGAGAAGGTGACTTTCCTTCTCATCTGGATGCTCCAGGTCATGCCTGGGGACACAGGAAGGACAAGCCCACCTTGCCAGGTTCCCACAGCATGCTGAGCCTGGATTGTGAGCACAGGCTCCAGGACACTGCTTGGAACAAGCTGTTCCCGACCCTGCACGAGCTCCCCTGCCACCTGGAGAACCTGCCAGGCCACTTTAGGCCCAGACGGCAGGAGCCAGCCGGGGCTAAAGAGAAGGACCTGGCCCAGGAACGGTCCCTCCCTGTGGCAGAGACTGGGAAGGCCCTGCACTGGCATCTGTGCCGCGGTGTCCATGGGGCCACCAGCCCGAGGGCTCTCGGAGTTCTGAGCTCCTGTGTCACCTGGCGCCTCACCCGCGCCGCGCTCACCTCCCCTCCTAGAAAGGCTGTGAACCGGATTCCAGACGGGCGCGGGGAGAAGAGTTTGCTTGCGGTTGAGGATGGCTGTCGGCAGACAGTGGGTCCAGGCAGATGAGTTAGTGAGCCCTGCAAGCGCCACAGAGTAATTTTAGAACAAGTTCTTACCCTTTTAAAAAAGTTTAAACCTTCATCTATAGTGTCCACGAAAGCCTCCTGGTCCTGTTTTAAATACTAAGCTCACGAGCAGGTCAAGGGCTGGGGCTCACAAGTCCTGGCTTACAAAGATACTGACTTCAGTTGTCCACAGCCACAAGGGTCTCCGCCTGATGGCTCCCCTCACTCTCCTGAACAGCTGCCGTCTTCATTCTCAGGGTCTGGGGACAGAGGACCCAGGAAGGCAGCAAAAGTGGGTTAGTTTCTTCCCCCCAGGGCAGGGGGACTTATCCCGCTTGCATCCTCACGTCCTGGAATTCCAGGGGGCCTCAAAGGTGCTCCACACTGAGCAACACGGCAGGATGTGAGAAATGAAGGTGCCCTGAGGAGCAGGGCTGAGGTGGTGAGGGGCGGGGAGGCCTCCTGGCTCAGAACCCCGGCACTGAAGTACAGCCCTGTAGAATCCAGCACACATGTACGTAGGGCTGATGGGTCATTTCCTGGTCCTTGGCCAATAGGCAGGGACTCTGCAGTACTCCCGAGCTGGCCCGGGGCCCATGCTGCTGGCCGTGAGAGGCTGGTGTGTCGGAAGCAGAGGCTAACTCGCTCGGACCCCCAGGCACCCACAGCGGGGCTGACCTTTTGTGAGTGACACGGAGAGCCCGCAAGAGGCTCTGTGCCAGCGACTCGGGCCACTGAGGATGGAGCTTAGGGTATCATGATGGGTGTGGATGGGGCAAGGGCGGGGTGCCTGCCTCCCGTCCGGCAGGGCTGGGCTGTGCTCTTGGCGCCAGCACTTGCAGTGGGAGTGGGTTTCAGAGGGGCAGGATGAACATTTGTGGGGGCAATTTTCGTTAAAACAATGACTGTGGCACTACTGGCATTTTGTGGTCAGGGCTGGGTATGCCGAGGTTCCCCCAAATGGAGAGAGCCCCGCACAAATGGATGGCACTGTGGCTATCATCATCCCATCAGCTGCTCATGTGGCTGACAGATCTGTGTTTTGGGGTCTGTTCTGGTCCCATTCCTGTGTTCCGTCAACACTGTGCCTTTCTCCTACGGCTCTAATAGACGCTGAATTTCTCAGAAAAGCAGCTGTGGCATATATTGAGGGAGGATCTAGGCTTTGTTTTGCTTCAGGTTTTGTCAAGTGTTGTTCATAATTTCAGGAAACCACAGCCCCAGCGAACGCCAGGCACGGCACCGGAATCGCCAGAGTGGTGCCCGCTGTCTGGCTGCATCCTCAGAAGCTTTGCTTAATGCACGTAACTGAGGACTTGATTTGGCGTGTAGGATAGCTGTGTCTAAACAACTACTACCAAAATAGATGCTACTGTAAACTCTTTTCTTTCAGTTTTCTTTTATGATCACCATTAAGGCATGACATATATGATCTATCAAAATCTGTCACCTATCTATCTCTCTCTAATGTCATCGACCTATCGTGTTACAGTATCCCAGAATTTCATCTCAGGATGGTACCCGGAGGGTTACCCTTACTTGCTCTCACAAGGGGCTGTTTCACTCAAGCTTTCACACACGCATTGCTGGCGGAAACGGACCTGCCGCTCGGCCTCCCTCCATGGAGCCGCGCCAGCTGGGCCTTTGGAAAGTGGCCAGCGTCAGGCCGGCCGCACCCCTGCTGTCCTGCCTTGCGGGGGCCTGGCCCGACCCCCGAGGCGAGCGAGCTCTGGCTGTGCCCCTCCTGCCGTCGGGCCTGCGTGGAAGGTTTGTTGCCCGGCCTGCCCTGGCCAAGCCACCTGCTCCCCGCAGAGCCTCACACCCAGCAAGTTCCCGGAGGTGGCTGAGTGTTTGCTTTTGGGACTCTCGGTCGTGCTGGGAAATGCGTGTTGACACAGGAGATAAGAGGGTGGGATGGGGAATGGGAAGGGAGGCTGGCACTGCCGGGCAGGCATCCGAAAGGCCCATGGATCCCGAGACCGGGGTTGAGTCCTGGGGTTCTTCTCAGTGCTGTGGGAGGAAAACAGGAAGGAGCTCAGCGCCACTCGCTGAGGATCCCGGAACCTGTCCGTGCGGAGTAGGTGTCAACACGTGCTGAGGCCTCTGTGAATGTCACAGGGAGAACTCTCATTCTCTTTACCTGAAGCACCCCCCCCCCCCAGGAGGGTGCCCTTTCACCTTCTCACGGAGGTGCCCTCCATGGCTGTCACCTTGCTGTGCAGGGGCCTCCTTTGGTCTGGGGATCCCCTTTGAGAGCCGAAGGCTTTGATGTGCATTGAGGAGCGGCCGATCTAAGCAATCATTCACCTCGGCCACTCCTGCAATTTCCTCACGACAGGTGTGCAACGAGCTGGGGCTCTGTGTGGGTTCTGAAAGGAGCTTTGAGAACAATCCTGTTATAGAACAGGGGTGCACAGCTATTTGAAACACAATCCTGGAAGTAAGCGAAGGGCCCTCCCTGGACAACATGCCTTTGGTTACGTAAATTCTGAGGGGCTTGGTGAACACTGGGGGAGACACCAGGCTATGGTCACACCATGTTCACCTTCTGGATTATTCTGAGTTGAAAAACATGAGTACATGCTGCAGCTGCTTGCTACAGAGTCCTGAGAAAACTTCTGATACAGAGGGTGCATGTGTGTATGTCCTCATGTGTGTGTGCACGCTTTGTGTGTGTGCGCACACATGTATGTGTGTTGTGTGCCTGTGTGTTCAAGGGCGTGTCTGTGCTGCGTGGGGGGTGTGTGCATGTAGAAGGGCCATCAGAGGGGTAGGAAGAGGATGGACAGGCTCCCGGCAGCCCTTTGCGGCAGTGAGTCAGAGGGATTCACAGGCCCTGGCTCTGGCACGGAGAGGTGTTCGGAGGCTTCCATATCTTTTAAAGAGCCCATGTGAGAGAGGTGGGAACGAGTGAGACTTGTATTCCTTGTGTGTGTTTGTAGCTCCCCATACCCATCCAGTGACAAACATACCCTGGTGATGGTGGCCTGGCACTGGGGCCGTGCTGAGCCTCAGCCTTCCTTGAGGATGGTGCTGAACCACTTTCTGTGCACACGGGCTGTGGTCCTTCCTCGGCAAACTTGGAGCCAAACAGGTTTGGACCTGGGAGTTTTGGACTGTGCACGTACCACACACCCCAAACCACCCTGGAAAGGGTGGGGGTGCCCTGGAAGCAAATGGGTTAATGTTTCATAGTGAAACTAAGTCAGGTAAATAAAGCCTCAGAGCATTCAGGTTAAACTCTGCTTGCAGATGAGTTATGAAACCATGGTCGGTTCGCAGAGTTTATTGAGTTTCAAATGACTGGTTAGAAATTGCAGACCTGCAAAGGTAAACAAACCCGGTTGACCCAACTAGACTCGAAAGTCAGACCCTGGCTTTGTTAGCACACTGTGTGTGTGTGTGTGTGTGTGTGTGTGTGTGTGCACACGCGTGCGTGCACGGTCTGGGCCTTAGGACGGTGGCGAGGTCAAAAGTCACCCCTAGCAGAGCCCCTCCTTGCCCAGCTGCTGCCCTGTAGGGCTGGGCTCTGCTCGCAGCAGATGGGCCTTCTGCCCTCGGGCGGGGCTGGGTCGGGGGCAGGGAGGCCACGCACTGAGCTCTCCTCTCCAAGGCTGCAGCCCCCACCTGACACCCTGGCTGCAAATGCTCAGTAGCTAAGGACAGGGAAGACGGGAGGTGAATGCAACTGGGAAGGGGTCTGGGGGGAGGGGAGGAAGCTTGGGTGAGGAGGGAGATGGGCACGAGGGGAACACCGGCCCCTCTCAGTCAGGGATGGGGAGCAAGGAGCCGACGAATCACCCTCGGATAATCTGGAACCCGGGAGGCAGGGTGGAGGCAGGACGGGGTGTCAGCCAGGGTGTTGATCAGAGGTAACCCAGGCTTGGTTCTGCACCAAGTGCTTGGGACCCCTCAGCTCAGCCGGGCCGCTGCTCTGGGGTAAGAGGGGTGGCCCATTCGTTCCATGTCACATCTCCCTTTGCCCCTGGTGGCCCCAGACTTTGTTTTCCTGGTCTCAGCAGAGGCTGGGGCTGAGGCAATCCACCTGTGCTCAGTGACAGGGGTGTCCTCGAGGGGGAAGGCAGGAAGGGGAGGCTGCCCTCCACAGCGGGGCCCAGGGAGGTGAGGAGACCACAGCGGGAGGGCTCTACAATGTCATGTCACCAGGGACACTGGGCCCGGCGTGGGGTGTCTGCTCTCCCTGCCTCCTGAGCGGGGAGGTGGAGGGGCTGCAGGGGGTCCATCGTCCCATTCAGGGTCCCGGGAGAAGCCACCCAGATTTGGAGCTGCTCGAGGCTGTCCTGCGTCTGAGATTGGGTTTCCTATCTGCCCAGATGACAGGCAGGGCCCGAGAGTTAGCTTGAAATTAATCTAAACAGAAATAATGAAATGTGAAATTTTTGCTAAGACTAATATTTGTACTCACCATGTAGATGGCCTCACCCATCCTGAGGAGACAGAGGTGCCTCCTGGTCAGAAAGTCGTCTCGGTGGCTCAGAGCTGTAGGGAAAGCTCTGGCTTTATGACGCCCGTTCTGGCCATGGAGAAACGTGGAGGGCACACTGTTGCGGGCAGGATGCCCTGGCCGAGCAGATTCCAGAGACACCCCATCATCCCTTCTGGTTGTTTTTTCCTAGTTGTAGATTCAAAAAATAATTCTGAAATGTACTATACCCACAGAAGAGTTTCTATAACTTACATGTACATACGCAATGGCAATAATGAATGAAGCACATGCAGGTTAGCAGCTGGCGCGTTACCCAGACCTCTGCATGGTCCCGCAGCATTGGTCTTGGTTTTCCCACTTTCACCGCAATAACC